ATCAGTAAAACTGCATAGGTACCCCCAAAGTTCTTGTGATGGATCTTTGAATTTATGTGTTGATGTTTTTGAGGTTTTATCTCGTTGCAGGGACATTATACTTAAGTATGGCAAAGCTATTGATGGTCTTGCAAGGGATTTAGCAAGAAGACTAGGAGAGAGTTACGAATTAGCAGAAACCGATTTTTTCAAAAGATGGCCGAGCCAATTTCGGATGACCAAATATCATTTTAAGGCGGAAACAATTGGTCAACACGGTCTGACAATACACACGGATCCTGGATTCTTGACAGTTGTTCAAGGTGATGAAAATGTTAGTAGTGGACTTGAAGCCATGGACTCTTCTTCAGGAACGTTTTTCCCTATTGACACTTTGCCAAACACACTTACCGTCAACCTTGGTGACATGGCTCAGGTGAGATCGATCATCACTAATATATATTTCAAAAATGTTTTGAATTTATTGAACCATGAAAACTCATTGCTAAACACGAGCCTTTGTTGGTTTTTGGAACTTTCTGATAGATATGGAGCAATGGAAAGTTGTGCAATGTGAAGCATAGAGTGCAATGTAAAGAAGCAAAAACGAGGATTTCTATCTCTACGTTCCTATTAGGACCAGTGGATAGAGATCTTGAACCTCCAAGTGAGTTTGTTGATGCCGAACATCCACGTCTATACAAGCCTATCAGAGATGAAGAACTAAGAAAGATTAGATTGAGCAGGAATATGCATGATGGCGAATCTCTCAAGTTTATAACCATGAAATACTTAAATGATTCAAAGAACGAGTAAAGTAATCGGTTGTATTATGAACCAAATAAGATTGTAGACCATAAGTTGTGATGGCGAATCTCTCAAGTTGGAATTACTGTTTAGTTTTCCATAAGATTGTCAAATAAAGATACATATTCTAAAACTCTTGAGCTTGGAAGAAATAAAGTCAATATTTTTGGTACCCACAACAAACATTGGGAAAATTTTCATCTTTGCCACAAATTAGCCATACAAAGTATCTAATAATTTA